ACAACGGCAAAAACGTTTGCAACGAACGAATTCCATCCGCAAAAAGCTCAGCCGCATCATTCTCCATTTGTTGTTGATTCTTCAACGCCGCAGATAAATCGTAGAGACCTATCAGCGAATACATAAAACCATTGAGGACGAATGTGCCCGGTTGCGTCGGGTACTCCTCGTACCACGCATAACCGAACAGATCATTCCTAACGCCACCTTCGCCAGCATTCTCAAACCACAATCACTGATCACAAATCACATTGAAATATTTTAAAATTGATGAACAAGTGAACAATTCATTCACAAATGAATTCAAATAACTTATGCCAACTCAAATATTCAAAGAAGAAACAACAAAATTCAATTATGATCAATCAAATTTTAATTTTAGCTTCCAAATTTTACGGTTGCTCTAAGGTTGTAAAATATTTCAACACGCAATCAAAAACTTACAATCTTGAAAAGTTTGGTCCCTTTTACGGCCGCTCGTAGATATTTCAACTCTTTCGTTATCGCATACGCTCTTGTCAACACACTCAGTGCGTGTCCTTGAGCCATTGCACTATGCCAACCGGCTTCCAACACCAAACTTTTCTCAGCAATTGAACTGAAAATTCTCAAACTTTCATCAAAATTCTTTAAACTTCACAAACATTGAAAATAACCTTCGCACATTTATTATGCTCATTGTCAGATGATTCTCCTCTTTTACCTTTTCTACCAACCGAACATAAAACAGCCAAAAATATCAAACGGATCCGAAAAATCAAATAAGAATCTTCCGCGCTGACCGTTCCACTGGTACAGACCATCCACCGTCATCGTCTTGATTCGACAGAAACCAATCGGCCACCACTAAAAATTGCTCCATATGCGCTGAGGATCGTTGCTTGAGACTGTGAAGCCATGAATGCCCCCGTAACACCAACGAAATCACCCGAATATCACCTGAATTCCAAAAACTAAACATCTTCAAACACTAGCAAACATTTACCAATCATCACAAAACTAATCGATCAATTCAAATTCTGTTCGTTTATAGATAAAAATAGACAAAAAGGCTTCAAATTTGCCCATCTAATCGAAAATTTCCATCTACAAATATTCGTTGAACCTGGATGCAATTGGGCTGCCGCACTCGTGCTGCCGGTCTTCTTCCCGTTCGAAACAGTACTGGCCAACGCTCGGCCTGCGTCCGTTAAAACATCTCGACAAATCAACCTCCAGCTTGATGGGTCTGGTTTTGCGCCCAATTCGTAGTAAAAATGTTCCTGAAATGATACTTTCAACAAATCATCCTAATCAATTCTGTTCTGATTGACTAGCCACGAACCAACAGCAGTCACTTCGTCCGGCCTTCAGGCAGAAAATAAACATCATTTCTTCAAATCAGCACATAATTAAAGGTGGATGTCCGAATTGTAAGATACAAAAACACCAACAATAATGCGAATCAAATTTCAGACGAATTCAAAAGAAACAAATTTTCACCTGTTGACCGTTAGCTTCACGCCATACACATCTACCGTCACTTTTGTGCACATAATGCAAATAAATTTTCTTTTTGAGCTGAAAAATAACACTGCAAAATTCAATGAAATTAACACTATTTAAAACTTAAAAAAGTTTAAAATTTTGACGAATTCACTCATTGTGAATGTCCTCCTTTAAAATTTGCTCAAAACAAATGACACACCGGAATAATTTCGGCTGCAATCGTGAAAGAAGCGTACGCATCAGAACGCCAAAAGAAAGAGATCACATCCAAATTCACGTTTTCATTCAACGATAACCTCACGGCTGTATCTTTCCCATTATCGTTGCCTAAACATCTTCAAAGGTTTAGTTTCACTTCAAACTAGCCTTACTTTCCGGAAACCAACAGTAAGAGATCACTCCATCAAGGAAAAAAAAGAAACGAAGCCTTTGATTTTCCTCTGAAGTCAAAAATGAATCAGGATTCAAAAAGTTTAACCTACCCACTGGAAATATCTCCATAACATTTTTGTGCAGTTCTTCATCAAGAACCTCCCGAATACCCTCTATTCCTTCTTTTGCTTCGTAGGACGCGCTATCCTCTACGATCCAATCACTGGGTGCTTTGCCTAGCTCAATTTCCACTGGTTCAGGACCTTGAAATTGTGGTTCAATTACTAAACTGGAATTTAAAAAATCTGAATCAGAAACGAATATTTATCTGTCTGTCAATTAATCAAACAACATCGAAACGAATAAGGTTCACAAAATCTTAAAATTTTCATGCACAATTTACCCAGCATATTAAATGAACCATTAACATTAATGATATTATGGCTATTCCGTTAATATTCTTATCATTGAATACCTGTACGGTTTCGGCTGTAATGTTGTAAGGCGTATTGCGCTATTTGAATCGGATAGAAATATGGCTTTGATGACCACTGCGTTGACAACGGAACACCTCAAGTATATAAGCATAAATTTGATAAAGTCAAGCCAGCAATACTCAAAGAAATTCTTCACAAAATGCAATGAAAATCATAAACTTTTACCATACTGCGCACTGATACATCGCACACGATCTCGACTCTCGACACTATACGAAGCGAAATGTCCAAACGTTCCAACCGGATCGTATTCACCTTCATCCGGAAAGCGAACTCTCGATGTGGACGTCGACCATTCGAAATGATCTTCCTTGTTTCCCTTATCTTCAGACAAATGTTATGGATTTGCTTGACAATAAACAAAACAGTAACATTTTCTAGTAATTAACGAGAAAAAGACTACGAGTTGCATGCATTTTACCTATTCACATATAAATAGTTGAAAATTTACGCAATTCTAAGCCATGTTCCTGGTCATATAGACGATTTTTAAGGAATGCTGATTCAGTAACTAAAGAAAGATTAATCACTGCTTTCTCAACTGATCTGAAGGAATACTTCAGTCCTTAAAAATATTTTAGACTTGAGTTATTGATGGTATTTTCGTTCCGCTCTCCAATCATTCCACTTTCGTTGTATTTTAAAATTTCCGTAATCACAGAATTCATATAGTTTCTGGATTTGTCCTCTTAGTTTGATCAAAAAGCAGTTTCATCGTTCAATGTTTGCGAATGTGGATCACCTTTAGTTAGTTTCCCGGTCACATCGTATTGTTTCTTGAGAAATTTTTCAAACGGAAAATATACATCGTCATCATCTTGCAGGCAACTATACGTTCGGTGACCATCAACCATACACGATATCCTTTTGATATTCGACATATTCATTGCATCTTTCGAGACTGTTTGCAGCTAAAATTTATTCACCTCAGAACAATGAAGTCAAAATATTTTCTGATGAATTAAGAATTAAACTGAGAATTTATTTCCAATTTAGACATTCATCTCAGTTAATTTTGCATGTTCTAATTATATTATTAATCTGATACCGTATAAAATGAATTCATTAAACAGTTCTACCATTGGAAACTTTTGTAATTTTATAACACTGCATTAAATTTCGATGTTTTAAATAGCAAATAACATCGAAAATAACGACACGCTCAAACAAATAATGAATTTATCTGTCGAATTCTCATTTCTATCTTATGAATTGTTTGTTTCTATGATAGAATCATGCAAATTGGCGTATTTTTCAATTGAGTTGCTACTCAGTCATATCTTTATTTAGTGCAGCATTACACTGAAGTTACTTTTTTAAACCCGTGATTTCTTCAAACCATTTGGAAATATACGAATTTAAAAGCAAACAAAACAGTCGTGAAATTAA